GCAGCGCTGGAAGTGCTCACTCACCTATGCTACAAAATTTGGAAGACAGCTACCTGGCCAACTGACTGGAAGAGATCCATATTTGTACCCATTCCAAAAAAAGGTGATCCAACAGAATGCGTAAATTATTGAACAATATCATTAATATCACAATCAAGTAAAATTTTGCTGAAGATCATTCAAAAGCGGTTGCAGCAGTACATCGACAGGGAACTGCCAGAAATTCAAGCCAGATTCAGAAGAGGATGTGGAACAAGGGATATCATTTCTGATGTCAGATGGATCTTGGCTGAAAGCAGAGAATACCAGAAAGATTTTTACCTGTGTTTACTGACTATGCAAAGGCATCCAACTGTGTGGATCATAACAAATTATGGATAACACTGCGAAGAATGGGAATTCTGGAGCTCTTAACTGTGCTCATGTGGAACCTGTACAAAGACCAAACAGAGCAAGGGAATACTTCGTGGTTTAAAATCAAGAAAGGCGTGCATCAGGGTTGCATCCTTTCACCATACTTATTCAATCTGTATGTTGAGCAAATAATCCAAGAAGCTGGACTATATGAAGAAGAATGCAGCATCAGGATTGGTGGAAGATCCATTAACAACCTGCGATACGCAGATGACACAACTTTACTTGGCGAAAGCGAGGAGGACTTGAAGCACTTACTAATGAAGGTCAAAGACTAAGCCTTCAGTATGGATTACACCTCAACATAAAGAAAACAAAGATCCTCACAACTGGACCAATAAGCAACATCATAATAAATGGAGAAAAGACTGACATTGTCAAGGATTTCATTTTACTTGGATCTACAACCAACGTCCATGGAAGCAGCAGTCAAGAAATCAAACAACAGAGTGCACTGGCCAAAAGACCTCTTTACAGTTGTTAAAAAGGAAAGATGTCACTTTGAGAACCAAGGTGGGCCTGACCAAAGCCATGATATTTTCAGTCACCTCATATGCAAGCGAAAGCTGGACAATGAGTAAGAAAGACCAAAGAAGCACTGATGCCTTCAAATTATGGTGTTGGCAAAGAATATTTAATATACCAAGGACTGCCAGAAGAACGAACAAATCTGTCTTGGAAGAAATACAGCTAGAATGCTCCTTATAAGCAAGGATGGTGAGACTTTGTCTCACGTACTTTGGACATGTTATCAGGAGGGACCAGTCCCTGGAGAAGGATATCATGCTTGGTAAAGTAGAGGGTCAGCAAAAATGAGGAAGACCCTCAACGAGATGGGACTGACACAGTGGCTGTAGCAACGGGCTCAAGCATAACAATGACTGTGAGGATAGTGCAGGACCAGCCAGTGTTTAGTTCTGTTGTACATAGGGTCGCTATGAGTTGGAACCGACTTGACGGCCCTAACAACAATGTAACAGTCTTTACAGGAGCAGACAGAAAAAAAGTATCATTCAAATGCTTTCCAATTTATCTTCTTAAAATCTAAACACAGGCTCTCAAAGCCTTTTATAGTGTACTGTGGTTTTAATCAAGTAAATATTAGTTTCTTAAAAATATAGATACTAAAATCAAAAGCCTTGGTTTTTATATAGCAGTCAAAATACATTATCTACTTACAAAATTGATTATCATTATCGCCTAGATCAGGAAAATATGAAGCTTCATTTTCTGCTTTTATAATGCCATTATGATAGTGTATTATGCCTGATGACTAAAAATGAGAAAAAACGTTTGTCCCATTATTGTCAGTTTTATATAGTCCCTCAGGTCTATATCAGTTTACTATTTACATTTTTATTACAAAAATGATTTTCTGAATACATGGCAATAGTATAAGAGTCATTTTACCTTAAATAAAATCATGAGTTTTATTTACGTCAATGTTCAACAAATGAAACATTTGCAATGCAATTTAAAAAAAAAAAAAAGTCAAATTTCCTTCCTGGTGTTTATTAGGAAATAAATCCAGCCCACAAAATGAAATGCACACATTAAAACCTCATTATAATTGGGAATTAGGGAAGGTCAATATGAACAGTTGGATGTTTGGAATGAAATGCAATTTTGCTAACTTCCCAAGCCTTGCAAGTTTATGAAGCCTACCAAAATATTAAGAGGCAACCAATGTTTGGCACATAATCAGGCCTTCACAAATGTTCATGCATTCATTCTAAGTATTATATAGCCCATTTCACTTGTAATTGCGCTCTTATAAGCAAACAATACTTTTAAAGGGCAAGGCATTCTCTGTCTAAAGTGGCTAATTTCCCTGAAATTTTGTTTAAAACTTCTGTTCCATTTTCATTTTCACATGTTGTGAATCAGTGAAATTCTAACTAATGAGGTATAACTACATCTGGAAATTTATGTTTTGGGACTCTCTTGACAAGAGCAAAATGATATGAATTCAATACACAAGCACTTTTTTTTCCAGAGGTTTAAGACTTTGTTTTCTGACTTTATCTGTAGTCATGGCAAAATAAAGTCTGACTGATTTTCCAATGCTACACCTCATATGTTTTTTGCCTCCTTTATACCAATCCCTGCTATCTGAATATGCTCTTGGAATATAAAATAATTTTGTTATTCAAACAAAAATAGGAAATGAAAAATCAAAATTAACTATATGACATTATGAAGATAAATTATTGCATAATTATATACTTTACAATTTTACCCTCCAATAGTGTAGACTCTAAAGAGTTGACTGTTCTAGCTAAAAATAGCATTAGTTCCTAAGCTACAATGAAAGCTGTTATCTTCAAGTCAAAAGCTTTGGAAATCTCAGTGCCCTTTTGCAAACGCTACCTTACTTTTGTAAAGTCAAACAAATATACTCAAACCAATAATATTATATGAAAGTCACCAATGCAAAAGTAATCAGGAAAAGCTGACTTTAGAAAATTATGCTAGTTATTAGAGTCTTCTAACAAAAAACCCATTGCTGTTGAGTCGATTCCAACTCAATAGGGACCCTATAGGGCAGAATAGAACTGCCTGTAGAGTTTCCAAGGCTGTAATCTTTATGGAAACAGACTGCCATATCTTTCTCCTGTGGAGTGGCTCGTGGGTTCATATCACCGACGTTATGGTTAGCAGCTGAGCACTTAACCACTGCACCACCAGGGCTCCTTTCTAGAGTTTTCTAGTAGCATTTAAACAGTGCAATGTACACCTGGGCTAAAGGAAAAATGGAGTGAGAAACAATTGTATATACATCCCAAATTGATTAAAGTGGACAAATGAAATGCCATATTCAATTTCACATTACCTTGAGGATTTTAGGAAAAAGTTATTTTTTAATAAAAATATACTTTAATTGAAAACACCTGTCATACACTGACCATGTGAATAGCCACATATTGCCTATACAGGAGATTCAAGGAAAGATAAACAATATTTTTCCTGCCAATATTGCAAGTCCAAAGAGACTGAAGACCTAAAGCATCCCTTGGAAGAGAAATCTGATTAAATGATTAATTAAACCAGATATCCCAAAAGCAATGAAGACTCATTTCAAGTAATTACTCTGCTTACAAGTTTTATTTACACAGTAATTGTTACTAGTGGTTTTAATGAATTCCTTGTATTTACATTTTATATACACATTTATACTTGAAAGGTAAAGAAACTGTACATAACAAAAACAAGAAAAAGAAATACAGTAACTTAGGTCCAACTTAGGAAACAAATACACAAAAGTAAGATTAAATTTAGGCATGTAATATAACCTCACTGAGATTACTGCCAGGAGTTACATTCCCTCTATCAAGGCCATCAATACCAAGGACGTAGTTACCAGAGTTAAATGGGCATTCCCAAACCTATTAAGACCTTGGATACTCCTTCAATATTTTATTACTACTAAACAAGCCCCTATGACAGGAGTTAACTTCTGAGGGTCCCACTAGTAGTCACTAGGCTAAAATGACCCAGGGAGTAAAAATACATAGGCAAACTCTGGTCCCATACTCCTAAAGAGGCAGTCACTACACTAACAAGGATCTCAGGCTTGTTAGTTCGAAGACTATATAACCACTAACAGAAATAGTGTGCTTAAGTGTTGTTTCAAATCAAACTGCAACATGAAAACACACTATAAATCTAATTATTAACCAAATAACATGTTATAAAGATATCACTCATAATACTCAAGTGATTTATTTTAGGTTCAAAAATTAAATATATTATGATACTAAATTTAATACCAATTTACCAATGATCAGTAATTTTTTTATCTACAATATCATCAAAGTTACTCATTAGAAAAAGTTAATTTTATCTGTTTTCTTCTACTCTTATTTCCACTGATCAGAAAATTATGCACAGTGTTTTACAAGCCAGGAATCTACTACATATTAAGATTTCAAATTTCAAACTGGGATTAAATTTTGTTTCTGCAGATAGTGGAGAAATTTTAACTAAAAAATTTAAAGTCTTGCCAAGTAGTATACTATGTAAGAACTCTCAGAACTCATTACTTTTTACTCTTACCAGTGAAAAAAACCTCATTTATATTTATGGACTTACTCCCAAAGTCAAGCCTTAAGTCCAGTAAAGTGCAAAGAATTTTCCTTCTACCAGTTATTTAGTTTTCCTAGTGTCAAATTACTAGATGAACAATTTCTTAGACTAGAAACAGAAAGGCTAAAATTCTTTGAGTGACAGGAATCCCTGGGGGGACAGAAACAATTTCTTCAAAACAAATAGACACGATACCGCGTAAAAACACCTCAATGAATGTTAAATAATCTCCCACCAATATTTCCAGTCCCAGATACCTAAATATACCTCAAATGCTGAATGAAGCTAAATGACAATCTGAGTGACTTAAATAATTTGCAACCAAAATTGCTTATTCTTGGTATCTTCAAAAGGTTAGAATTGGAGATAGTATCTGTACTAACATGTTTATTTCTAATAGTATTTGGAGGTTAAAGTAATATTTAACAATCCCACTCTGACGTCCAAAAATGCCTTTGTGGTAATTATTAAAAAAGAAAAGATGCTGTAAAAAGGTGAAGTATCTCCAAAACTATTTTAAAAATTTATTGCATTAAACTGTTCATTCCAAATTATGGAATATGAACTAGCTATTTAAACTTTTTCCTTTGTAAAATTGCTCCTCCTACAAAATACCTTTTAATAATACTGTCAATAGGCATTTCATTACTTCAGCCATGAAATTAAAAATGTGCAGTTTTCCATTTCTTGATTCTTCTGGATTTCTCCAACATCTTCCTACATGCTTTTTTACATAGGAAACAAAACTGTTATCAAAAAAAGCTTTTTAATATTTCACTTAGTCTGTTAATTTTGAAGATTAGCTTTTCAGAGCAGGACTATTGTTCTTGTCTCCTTCTTTGATATCCTTCATTACAGATGCAAACACCTGGAAATTACATAAAATAAAGATTAATCCTCAAAAACTACCACCCAGATGAAAGATATTAAAATAACTATAGTTTATCATGGGGCTCCAAGGGAGGAGGACCTGGCAATCTGCTCCAGTAAAGATTACACCCTAGACAACCCTACAGGACATACTCTGTCACATGGGGTCACTATGAGTCAAATTTGACTCAAGGGCACCTAACATCAACAACATCAATGTGATAATGCTTTAGCATACTTAACTCTGTCCTCTGAGAAATTACCATTCTCAAATTCTCTTGTATTTTTAAACACGATTTTATAGAATATGATTATATTCTAGTTTTCATCACTTGCCAAATATTCTGAAATTACTCTGTGGTAACAGAACATTTTCTGGATCAATATTCCTACATTTCATTTTCATAAGCAATAAAACTATGAACTTACAATGTTCACTGTCTGTATCATTCATGGGGCAAGTGATAATGCTATCTTTTATGTCACTTAGACTACTAGGATGTTTCCCATGGAGGCAGCAGTCAGGAAATCAACGATGTACTGCACTGGGCAAATCTGCTGCAAAAGACCTCCTTGAAGTGTTAAAAAGCAAAGATGTCACTTTGAGGACTAACATGCTTCCTAACCCAAGCCATGGTATTTTCAATCGCCTCATATGCCTGAGAAAGCTGGACAATGAAAAAGGAAGACCGAAGAATTGATGCCTTTGTATTATGGTGTTGGCGAAGAATACTTAATATACTATGGACTGCCAGAAGAACGAACAAGTCTGTCTTGGAAGAAGTACGGCAAGAGTGCTCCTTGGAAGCGAGGATGGCAAGACTTCGTCTCATGTACTTTGGACGTGTTATCAGGAGGGACCAGTCCCTGGAGAAGGACATTATGTTTGGTAAAGTAGAGGGTCAGCAAAAAAGAGGAAGACCCTCAATGAGACGGGTTGACACTGGCTGCAACAATGGGCTCAAACATAGCAATGATTGTGAGGATGGTGCAGGACCAGGCAGTATTTCATCCTGTTGTACATAGGGTTACTATAAGTCGGAACCGACTTGACGGCACCTAACGTAACAACAACTACTCTGTTTGCTTCTCTAACAAAAAAGCCAAGATCATACATTATATTCTTTCCACTGCAAACTCTTTGTACATGTGGTGGTTGTTGTTAGCCACCATCACATTGGCCCCTGACTCTTGGCGACCCCAGGCACAACTGAATGAAACACTGCCCAATCCTCTGCCCCTCCTATGATCGGCTGCAGACTGAACCACTGTGATCCATTAGGTTCTCACTGACTGATTTTCAGAAGTAGATCGCCAGGCCTTTCTTCCTAGTCCATCTTAGTCCAGAAGCTCTGCTGAACCTGTTCAGCATCATAGCAACACGCAAGCCTCCATAGACAGGTGGTGGGCTGCACATGAAGTGCACTGGCCAGGAATCAAACCCAAGGATGGCAAGAATTCTACCACTGAACCACCACTGCCTCAACCTTTGTATACAGCACGTGTTTAATAAAATTGTTATCTATTTGAAATACCAACATAATTATATAACTGCTCTGGCAAATACATAGCTATTGTGGGTTGTACTTCATTAAACTCATGTTACTGGGCTTACATAAAAATAAAACCATAGGTTTGGAAAGGTAAAAAAAAAGCAGGGAGGGCAATCTGTTTTAAACTCTTGCTTTATCAAAGATAAAAATTATTTTTAAAATATATATACTTTTAAATTTAAGCACTAACACTTAAGAAATACATAACTTTTTTACAGGAAGTCAGTTGATTATTTTAATGCATCTATTAGAGGTAGGAGATTGTCACCCTACCTGAGTCCATTTTTTGGTGCTATTCTGCATCTGAATAGCTGCAATACAGCTGAATAGTTTTTCTGATGTAATATCTTCTGGTAATTTAGTTAGAAACTGTGCTATATGAATAAAGTCCATCTGTAGGAGAATATCTTCATATAATCGAAGGATTCCTAATCCAGTCCTAAATAAAAATTCCTCCCCATCTCTGCAAAATACATCCCAGACTCGACAGGCCAGATCCAGTGGTAGTGATTTGCTATACAATGTGAAGATCCTAAAATTACGGGGAAAAGAAAAAATCACTGAAATTTTTCACTCATTTATTCACTCGCTCATTAAGCACTCTATGAAAACAATGTTTCATTAGAAATAAAAAGGCAAATAAGATATGGTTCCTTCCTTCAATGAACTTAAGTAGTTGGAAATTAAATAATAAACAAAATTATGTGAATTTACAACTTTACTACATAGAAGTAAGGCCTAATACAAACCAGAGTGGGAGAATAGCCTAGGAGTTAAAGGTATAGACTCTGAAACCAGAATGCCTGAGTTTGAATCCTGGATTTGCCACTTTATTGGCTGTGTTACTTTGAGCAAGTTATTTATCCTTGCTGTGCGCCTCAGTTTCCTCATCAGTAAAATGAGGATAATAAATAATAATACTTACCTCTCAGGATTAAAGGAGTTAATAAATGTATAGTGCTTAGAACAGTGCATAGCACATAAGAAGTGCTCAATAAAAGCTAATTATGATTATTATTGTATAAGGAACACATATATCATCTTTTAGTACCTAACAAAAATAGTTAAAAGTCTCACTTGTCTCCTTTTTCTTCCCCATTCACAGACATCCACTACATTTTTTCCCTTCACCAAGCTTTACTTACTACTTCTTTTGGGGCATGTAAACCCTCCAACAGAATCACAAGAATAGTTTCTTCTATCCTTCCTGACAATGTCTGATCATGTAATTATTCAGTGGTGCTTTGGCATGGTGTTCTTGTTCGGGAAGTGGGGAGGAGGGATGCTAGAAGACTTGTCTTGAAGTTGCCTTGGCAAAGAAAGTACACAGGTTTTTAATTTAGATTGTGTGTTTGAGGTAGTAGTGATTGAACCTGAGGAGGAGAAACTAAAGACTCTCCTAACCCTGCAAAATACCCTTATTCATTCCTCTCTCTTCCTCCTTGAATGATCCTAAGATTTGTATGTAATGAGCTCAGCAGCGTCAATGAAACAAAAATCCATGTCTACTTCTTAAATTATAAATACATATTTAATTGCCTAACAAAAAAGTATACTCTTGGTAGAACACTCACTGTACAAAATAAGAAAGTGCCTAGGCACAGTTTCCAGCACACAGTAGTCACTCATTATTAGCTGCATCCTGCTCCCTATGCCAGTTTGATTCTGTGATGCCCCATACCACTCCTAAAGACTGACCACTGAGTTGTCACTGTTGTTATTTCACAGAATCAGTATTTGATCTTGGTTCTCTGTGTCCCATGAAATAAAATTTTTCTTCTCCCCATTACCTTGGGTCTTTCCCAAAGGAACTCTAATGTTCCTAGTGGGAATGGAAAAGAATACATTGAAAAATAACTTAGTTTAAAAAAAAAAAAAAAGCCTAAATAAAAGAAGCCCCAAGCAACTGGGAAGACATCATTTATTTTATCAATGGCATTATTTATTTATTTATTTTTCTATATGAAAGCTTAATATCATTTACATGAAAACCACTGGTTTTGCATGATAGGATTTAAAGTTTAAATATTCCACATGTACTCTTGAACAACCTATCTTAACATCAACTGCTACATTTCTCTAGCAAAACTCACCCCTATTTTATAATCAACTGGCTACTGCTGGTCAAAGTCCTAGGGAAACCCTGCAAGTTAATACAAAGTGCTGGTATTGGAAAAGTCAAAAAAGACATTAGCATTAAATAAGGCATCATTCCTGTCAGAAAGCTGGATAAAACCTTGAGAAAAACAAAGCTTTCTGTAAAGAAACACTATTACAATGATCATAGGCCCTTGTGTGTTCGGAATAATAAAAGAATAGCAACTAACTCTTGCTAAGAGCTTAGTATGTGCGAGGCAAGGAATGAGATAATCCACATAAAACACTTAGCCTCACTACAAATTCAAGACACAGATATTATTCCCATTTTATAGGTAAGAAACTGAAACAGAAACTGAGGGATTCTGATTTCAACCCAGGGTCCATGCTCTTAATCAAATGCTCTTTAAAAAATGTGGGAGTTTCTCTGTTTGTAAGGGAAGGGTCTTCTAAATGCATGCTGCTATACATGAGATTTACTTTAGTTCCTAAGACACATAAAAATTTATATTTTATTTCCTTTTAAGATATGTTATGTATGTTATGACTTACCAGTCTATCAAGTAAATGTCTGGTGTAAGACTGTAAGACTTGAAATGAAGAAACAGTTTGGAGAGATTTTCTTCAAAGAATACTTCAAATGTTGCAAAATATTTCAACATCTACAGATAGAAATACCAGTAAAATTATAAGAGAGTATAATCTAGAAATAGAGAAATTAAATCCTTAATCAAACATTAAAAGAAAATCTTGTTTAGCACCTCTTTCAGAAAATTTTCTCATCAAGTATTCATAAAACTAAAATTCAATGAAAAGTCCATATTATATTATCTGAGTCTCCTAATTATTGTTTTTCATTCTAAAGGTGAGTTCAGACTATAGAAAACATGATCCATTCCAAATGTCCATACCTGTGGAGATATGTGCCATTAAAATATGGATGTATAAAGTCCTCTATGCTGCACATGTTGAGACTTGTCCCTAACTTGTTGAGACTTGTCACGACTTGTTTTTCCAAACCCGTTACTGATTGGCTTGTTTACCTGAATTCCTCCTCCCTTGCACGAAACTTATTGTTATTCACCCAAAGCCCACTGTTCTGTTATTTGCTTCACTGTTTGCTGTATCGACTATAAAATAAACTCCTGGGACTGAAGCCAAGGTTCGACTCCTCAGAGTGACCCTCCTGGCCCCACTTCTCTGTAAGAGTTGTGGCATTGGTTATTGTCTCCACCGCCCCGACAACCGTCGCTGCTGCGACAGATGGGGCCCCGTGTGAGGGGCTGCAACAGATGGTGCCCCGTGTGAGGGGCAGACCGCCGTATAGCTGCATAGGCGCCCTCGCACTCAATCCCTTTAGGTGGTGAGTATCGGACTTCCGTTTCAGGCTGTTTAAACGCACAGCCCGAGAGCGGCGGGGTTTTTCCGCGGGCGAAATTTTCCCGAATGCTCTCAGATCAGGCTGTTTTAGCCCCAGAGCGGCAGGTCTTTCCTGACCGCTCCCAAGGGATTTCTGGCTTCAGGCCAGGAACTTTCCTATCATTCTTTCCTTCATTTTCCTATTCCTCCTTGCTATGGGGAATTCTCTTTCTCCTGAGCAGCGTCAACACAAAACCCAGTTGTTGGGATTGTTAAAGGCCTCTAAGCTTAAGGTGTCAGAAGAATCCCTTAACCAACTTCTGCTTTTAATTGAATCTGCCTGTCCTTGGTACCCCTTGCAGGGGAATCTTGATGTAGAAGCATGGGAACATATCGGTAACATCATTCGTGACATGAACATCCCAGCTTCAGTTCTTATTGCTTGGCATCACTGCCGCCTTGCTTTACAGCCCCTACAGGCAGCTCCTTCTGCTCCCTCCGCTAATAAAGAAAATGTTTATGACCCTCCTCTTTCCACGCCTCCCAAGGCTGATTTCTCTCAACATGAGTCTCTTATGGAAAGATGTTTGCGGGAGGGCTGTGAGAAAGAGGGGTTTTCTGCTTATCCTGTCATTCAGGGATCAGGACAGCCCTGTCACGATGGCCTTGGCTTTCAAGCTTTTAAGGAACTTCGTAAAAGCATGATAGAAAAT